ATGCATGTTACAGATGATGTAGAATCCGAATGTATGCGAAATCTTCACTGGGTTATCCTTAGATTAAGATATTGGCTTTTCCATCATTCTTTAAAAAGCTTCATATATGTCAGTTGAATTTTGCCACTTGTCTGATTGTTTTTTTCTGCTTGCAGATGCTTCACATAGCTACATCATTGAGAATGTTGATGGAACTTTTGCAAATTATGGATCAGCTTTGAAGGACATTATTGGAGTTTCTCGGCAGCAGGAAAATGATTCATGTACAACTTTTGAAATTCCGTTTGTGGATGTTGACATGCCTGCACATTTTGGAACTTCAACTGATTCTACTTTTTGTCAAGGTTCCGATGCTCCTAGTGATTTTAGTGGCTACTATTCATCTTTGAATTGTTACCAGGGTATAGATGCTAGACCTGTTGTTACTGACAGTTCTGCTTATTTGCCTAATGGTGTTTGTCCTGAATTCTGGAAAAATGAAGAGACAACGAGGAATGTGAAGGTTGAAAAAATGGAGTTTTTAACTGATACTGCAAATATGATTGGCGGCATGCATTTGAATACCGGTGGTTCGGTCCCTTTTTAGGACAGGCAATTTTTGCCAACAGACAGAGAATATCCTTCATTTTTTCCTGGTAATGTTATATTTGAAGACAGTGAATTAGTGCAACAGTCATCTTGTGCTCCATATATTTCTTGTGAAGGCCAGTCATTTAATGTCAAAGCTAAAGGAGATGAAATGGGTATGCCTTTCCAAAATACTTTTCACAATGACCATGCTGAGTTAAATGCTGGTCTTGGGGTGAAACAATTACCTAGTTAAATGGATTATGATATTGTTTACTTGAAAAGCAATGAAGTTGATTTTTATTTTTATCTTTTGCCTTGGGTGGTAAGCTTGAAATCTACCTGTTTGCCTAAATTTATTGTGCATTTGTTTTTATCTTTTGCTTTTTGCTTTTAGTATTGATTGTAGTTTACAAAAGGAATCAAGTGCTTCGTCAATTCCAATTTAAATTATTATGCTAAACGACTGCAGGTTAGGTTTCATCCATTGCATCCACATATACTTGCTAGTGGGAGCTTGGATCAAGAAGTTCGATTATGGGATGCCAACACATTAGAGTGCATAACATCTCACCATTTCTATATATTTACTTACTGTATCTCCTTTTATTTTCTAAATTACCTTTGCTACTGTTACTAAATTTGTTTGCTTGGTTTTCTAGCATTAATTGGGTTCTTTGTTTGATGGATCTATCAGATGTTTTCTCACAGATCGCCCAATTGCTTCCATCGCTTTTCATGCAAAAGGGGAAATAATTGTTGTTGCATCAGGCCACAAGGTAGTAATTTTTATGAGAACCTCCCATCTCTTTTTTTTTTTAAATCCTTAATGAATTTATTACACTTCATTTTAATGGATTTTTTTATGTCCTTACATTGTGTTCTGGAACACTGTGTAGCTGTACATATGGCACTACGACAAGAAAAGTGAAGCATCCTACTCACCAATTTTTGTGTTGAAGACTAGGCGGTCTCTACGGGCTGTGCATTTTCACCCTCATGCTGCGCCATATCTTTTAACTGCTGAGGTGAATGAACTTGTGTTTTTTGTTGCCTATGTACCCATTCGGAATTTAAACTTTTTTATTTTTATTTTTGGTTAACATGCTTGTATTGATGCGCAGGTCAAGGATGTTGACTCTTCAGATTCCTCGATGACAGAGGCAACATCTATTGGTTATTTAGAATATCCCCCACCTGCTGTTTTTGTCACAAATTTTCAACCCACGGGACATGTTACTTTGTCCAGCGAACCACCTAACGCTTCATCGACTTTCTTCTTTGTTCTTTCGCTTACTGTTGATGAGTCATGAGAGGAATTACAACGTGTTAGTCACGATGATGGCTCAGGTAAAATGCAAATTGAGTCCCCTGCGGTGGTTCAGTTTCAAGCAGATACAAATGTAACAGAACAATGTGATACTTTGTCTACAATGGATACAGTCTCCAAGATTCCAACTAACTTTCAACCTAGTACAAAATATCCCACTCATTCTTCTTTCTCTAATGGAATGGGAATTGGCATCCGCAACCTCACAATGGATGGTATGGAGACTGATGAAACCCGACCGCTGGAAGGAAGGCAACACGGAAACGTTACTGATGTAAGTTCTCTCTAATGGAATGGGAATTGGCATCCACAACCTCATCGAATAATAATTAACCTCACTTGTGTTGTTTTCTCTTGCTACATATCTAAAAGAAATGCAATGGTCTTCCTACATTACTAACTTTGATTAATTTTTATAAATTCTTGTTAAGTTTCTTACTTCTTTTGGCTATGTGTAATTGTAGTCAAGAGGTGACCACCACCGCAATATTTGCATTATACCAACATCAACACATGGTACAAATCCTGCTAGTGCTGCTATGGTTGGAATGAAAATTGTTACCATAGGAACTGATGCTAAAGGAAACATCAACATTGAAGAGTTGAAGAAGGCTGCTGAAAAACATAAGGACAACTTATCTGCATTTATGGTACAAATGTCTTCTTATAGACATTCATATGTTCGTATGTTGCACTGCAATAGTATATTAGTGTTGTAGTGTTTGATGCTGTTATTAGATTAATTGAATTTTGATTGAGCATTTTCTGTCGAGTCGGTTTGATTCAATTTAAATTTTGGTGCGAATTATAGCTGTTGTGCTATATGTTTGAATTGTTGCGTATGCGATTGGTTATTGTCTACATGCTATGTTTGATGTGGTTCAAAAATTAGAGAACGCAAGGTTAATGATTCAAAACTTTTTTATGTTAGTGTTTATTGTGTGAATATCATGAATATTGATGATTGCCATTAATGTAACCTACAATAGCTGTATTATGAATCCTAAACTGAGTGCAGATTTTTTTAAAAAAAATATTTGCAACTTGCAGCGGTTCAAACTACCACAATATACCATGTTTTTTTTTTAAAAAAATATTTGCAACTTGCGGCGGTTCAAACCGCCACAATATACTTTCACAATCAACAATGAAAACAAAAATCATTAAGCAAGTTAAGACGGTTGAAAACCGTCACAATATGGAGATTACGACAGTTAGCTACCCATCGTGAAAATAATGACAGTTTGTACGACCGTTTTCACAACCGTCACAATACGGCCTCGCGACGCACGTTTCCGCGACGGGATTGAAACCGTCGTAACTTACAAATTGCGACGGTTAAAACTGTCGTAATCTATCAATATAAACCGTCCCAATTTGCCAATTTTCTTATAGTGTTAGTAGATAAATTGAGAGAAGAATATGATGGAAGGAAATAGAATAGAGAGACATATAAGGAAACGTGGAAGGAAAAGGAAAGAATAGAAACATAAGAGAAAGAGAAGAGAAAGAAAGAGGAAGAGGAGAAAAGAGAAGGAAAAGAAGGAAAAGCTTGGAAAGCTCAAGAACAACTTCTAGCTTTCGATTTAATCAAGGTAAGTGTGTGAAATATCATTATCTTGTCAATGTATATGATTATGTATGGATTGTTTGGATGTTTTTCTCCACTTTCCATTTTAGGGCAGAAATGAGTTTAATCGAAAGAATCGATGTTTTAACGGTTAAGATTGAGAATAAATGGTGTAGATTAGTCGAGGAATGTTAGGCTAAGAATATTGGGAATCATTGGAATTGAATCGGGTGATTTGGGAGCTTCTGATGAATTTTGGACAGTTGGGGTTTTGAACATCGCAGACGTTCGCTAGCACCTTCGCTAGGCGAGCAGGTCGCGAGTGTTCGCTGTAGCTCGCTAGTAGCGAATGGTCCCAGACATAGGCAAAATGTAATTGACCCTCTTCGCTGGTAGTGAGCGAGGTAGCAAGGGGTTAGCTAGGCGAAGCCCCAGCGAGTAGGTAGTGAAGCCTTATAGTAGCTTCTGTTTGCCTTCGCAAGCTTGTTCGCTAGGCGAACAGGTAGCGAGTGTTTTCTAGGAACTAGCTAGGCGAGCAAGTCAGTGAGCGTGACAACATTCTCATTTCTTTGTGATTCCATCCAATGTTGATTGTTTGGTTCGATTGTGTTCAATCTTGATCTAAAATGAGTAATTATGTGTTGGTATATATATGTTGTGGGTAGCCGTATGACGTGAATCCTAGATTGTGGAATCGATTGTGGAATGTGGTTTCTTTGACAAATATGTGCATTGTTTGAATTGATTAAAAATGCATGATGATTTATGGTGAAGTTTGTTGTCGTTTGGCATGATGATATGAATGCATATTGATTGTATGCGATTGTATGTGAAGAATGCATGAGAATATATTGTGAATATGTGTGCATTATTTGATAAATATGGTGATGGTATTGAATTGTGAATGCATATTGATTGTATGCAATATTGTGAGTAATGCATCAGAACATATTGTGAATATGTGTGCATTGCTTGATAAATGTGATGATGTTGAAAGTATGAATACTTTGATATGATGTGTGAGTGTGCAATCATGTTATAATTCTTATGTGATGAATTATTTGAGAATGCATGAGATTAAGATGCGAGAACAATATTAAGTGCATTTGGTTGTTGTTTGCATACGCATTGTAACAGCCCAAATTTCATTAAATAATTAATTGTAGTAATTAATTGATTTAGTGGGATTTTTATTAATGTTAGAAATTAATTTTTATTAATTGGAATTAATAGAGAATTGAGGAGGAAATTGGAAGGAAGGAAAATGAAGGAAATATATAAGAGAGAAAGAAAGAAAAGAAAGTTAGAAAAACATTTGGAAGGAAAGAGGAAAGAAGAAGAAAGGAGAGAAAGAGAAGAGAAGAAGAGGAAAAGTGGAAATCATCAAGAACCAACATCAAAGCTCTGATTAATCGAGGTAAGGGTGAGAAATGTTTCTATTTGATCATTGTATGATGTTATGTATGTTGGGTTAGGGTTTTGGTAGAGTTTCCATCACTTTCCATTTAGGGCAAAATGTTGGATAATCGGTAGATTGAGGATTTGATCGGTTGAAACTGAGTAATAATGTCGTAGAATAGTCGGGTAACATGTATTGATGTTGTTTATACTGATTTGGATGTGTAAGAGAGGGTTGATGATGGATTGGTGAAGGAGGAACAGAGTGTGATTCTGTTCTGCGCAGGTTCGCTGGCTCTCGCCAGGCGAGCAAAGGCGAAGCTTCGCCAGGCGAAGCCTAGCGAATGCTAGCGAATAATTATAAGTTAAATCCCAGTGGACTTCGCTGGCGAGTTCGCCAGGCGAGGTTGGATAGCGAAGGTTCGCCCAGCGAAGGTGCTGGCGAATGAAGTCAGTAGCTATTGACTTGGGTTCGCTGGGAAGTCTCGCCAGGCGAAGCCTAGCGAGTGTTCGCTGAGGGAGTTCGCCAGGCGAAGGCCAGGCGAAGGTTCGCTGCGAGGGTTCGCCAGGCGAATGTGGGCGAGTTTGACAGCATTTTTCTTTTGCTGTGTTGATCATGTGGAGATGGTTTGGTTGTTCCACATAGGTGGATACCTTATGATATGAATATAGATATGATCTATTGTGATAACATGTGTTGTGGGTAGCCTTCGGGCGTGAA